TTTTAGCTGTTCAATCAGAGGAGAGGAGGCTGTAGGTTGCCTGTTGCCTGTTATATACCAACGCCACCCATAAGGAGAACATACCGAGCCAGTCAGGGCCTGAACTGTTCTCTTTAGCGTCCCACAACCGTCCCAAATTCTACTTTAAACACTTTTACAGTTTAACAGATATAACACACATTGTCCCAGATGGAATTCTTTATTTTTCATTGAACTTAATATATAATATAGTTTAATAAAGTTGTTTCAGTAACTCATGTCACTTCACTGACTTACTCAACTTACTGTTAGATCAATAAATGCATTACTTCAAACTACAGGGAAAATGCAAACCTGTTTCTGATTCTTACACATGGATGGAAATTCCCATACACACAGTTTGAACATCATTATTATTTAGCCAAATAATCACAAACCCACTACAGGGACATTGTATATTCGACAAAACAAACTGAAATATGTACAAGCCCAAACTAATTATTTACAAATACACAAAAGGAACACTGTAATCCAGAGATCCTGTTAGAAAGAGTGAGAAAAAAGGTCGAACTCTTCGAAAATGTAAAAGCTCAAACAAACTATTTACATTTGCTTTAGGAGTTTAGCCTAAGACAGAGATCAGAGAGAGAGAGAGAGAGAGAGAGAAGCTCAAATGTGGCTACACACCACATTTGAGGTGAGGAGAGGGAGAGACCCTGATGCTGTTGGCAGTAAAGACATGGACTGCGATGTTGCTCTGAGGAGCATGGATGGGAATGAATTACAATGTAATGTATTGGCTTTTTCCCTGATGCTCTGAATAAGTAGTTAACTTTGTCGGTACAGTACAGATATTTGTGTAAAAATGTAGGGGGTAAATGGTGAAAATGATACCTTCATCTACAGGATAGATGATCTTAGGATGGTGCCAGGCTAACATCTATACCTTCACATACATAAAACCTATGCAAGATATGAGACATGTTCATTCATCTTACATAATACATATACGCAACGCCCGAGTACCAAACTTGCATGTGTCCACAAATATATATTGTCTGTTAATGGCGCTCCGATTGATTGTTATCAGCCGATATTTGCTCTAAATAGTTTGATCGCTATAAATGCCACTCAGACGACACATTTATTTTGTTCCACAGGATAAGTTCCATTCAGTATTTCCCAACACATATTTACTTAGGAGGGCCGCAATTAATCTTAAAAAAACCTGTTTCCTTGCACCTTTTTTTTGTTATCAGACAATGTCCCTTATCAAGAGCAGCTTCATGCTACATTTAAAGTTCAGTATTTAATCAGATTGTTTTGAGTCGTGAATTAAGAGTTGATTTGACTGTAATTGTAACACCAACAATCGGAATCAAATTGAATTGTGCCTGAGATTCCCGCCCCTTTCCATGCAGTCCTAATCCTAATCTGAATTATTTTGGTAAGTATATCCTTCTGTCCATACTACAGATATATTTAGAGTGATAAAGGGGTAATGCTGTTATTCACATTATTGTCTATATCTTAGATACACGTTATTATAATTATTATGCCCCAGTGCCCGGGATGTTTCTCACTCGTGCCTACAATTGCGTACAACAGCGAGACCAACAGGACTCTAAATGCAGTTCAGGTGGCGTCAGTGTGCTGCTTTTTTTTCCGAGCTCATGAAAAGTTGGCATTTTAGAGAAACTAGGTTCTCACAGGACAGTGAATCTCAAACTAAACTTTCCAACAGTATATAAAGTAGATCAAATTAGCTTGACCTACACCAACATCTACGACAGTGAAATGCAACATGCCCATTAATGCAGCAGGGATATAAATCCAAAAACATCATATGTAATAGGAAAACACTGACAAAGACCATTTTACTAAGCAGTGAGTACTTTTACTTTTGTTACTTTACATACATTTTGCAGACAATACTTACATACTTTTACTTAAGAAAGGTTTTGAATGCAGTATTTACGTGTAACAAAGTATTTTCAGTTTAGTATTTGTACTTTTAATTACAGCAGCAACAAGGAACTTACATTTTTTCTAGTGGCCCTGTGGACAAAAGCGGTAGTGTTTGCACCTCCTTGTTTCATTGATTTCAAGGGGAATCTGACTCAGTGGCAGGCATTAAGAATAACTAAATTAGAAATAGTCAATCTTCTCAGTGATCGTCTAGTGTACTTATGTAGGTATAGTGGCATCAGTATTCATTTGGATCTGAATACTTCTTCCACCATGGATTCCAGATAGCAAAAACAATTATTATAATTAAGACATGGTTACTCGCAAGGTGAATGATAACCATTAGAGGATGCAAAAGGCCTGCAGCTTAGACCTTTTATGTGTACACTGTATTGGCTACTCATTAAATGAGAAATTCCTTGTCTGCTTTAAACAAAGCACAAAGCCACTACAAAAATGAGGGAAAAGTCGCGTATTCTTTTCCATCTGAGAACACCATTAGGGCCTCTCCGTTCTTCGTCCCATCTGTCACCAGCTCGAGGACGGCCTCCGCTACCTCAGATACACTGAAATAAGAAGGTACAGTGACTTCAGTGAATATGCTCATACACAGTATCCTGCATGGTCATGATAATGTACTTCTACTGAATTATTTTTGTACTTCTAAGAGGCAAAGACTCACTCTAACAGCCTGATGCTTTCAAGAGTGTTTTTGTCCAGTTCGGAGAATTGGCCCAGTCTGTTGTTTATGCCGACGAGGAGGTTGGTTTCGACAAAACTTGGGCAAATTGCATTGAAGCGTACACCATACTCCAAGGCGGTAGAAGCATTCTAGTAAGAGAGACAAGTACTATTTTATTGTACTAAACAGCCTGTACTGAGCCAAACGAGGTGGTCAAATAATTACAAACAGAGAATTTAGGCAGTGCATAATGACTCATAAGGACTAGTTAGCTGTACATGACATTGACACCTGGTTTCAATTTCTGCTGCAAATTCTTGTACACAGATTGTTTTCTTTATCTGTCTGGAATTTGTTGTAAGAAAAGTATTCCTTACCGCCATGGCTCGAGTGAAACCGACCACGCCCTGCTTTGAGGCTGTGTAGACAGGACTGCTCGCTATAGGTTCGATACCTGTAGGATGTGGGATGTATCAGTCAATATTAGGATTAAAAATTTGAGTTGTTCAAATTTGACTAATAGGGATGCACCATATAACATAACAGAGAAATCATTAGCACTACATTAAATGAATGCTTTAAGTAATTACTTTTAGCTGTATTGGATGTATCTTCTCTACTCTACTGGTCGTACTGGTCTGCAGGCTGTTGAATTATTTGCACCATTTAAGCACCTTATGTAAGTAAAGAAGTATCTTATTTTATCCTGTCCTCTTACATGTTATTTATTAATGTAATTGGCTGTATCCAAATCTTTTTTCCATCTGACTTTTTTGAACAAATTAAACCTGCAAAAGCTGTTAATAACAGACACAAAGATGGATCTCTTTCCAGACTCTGTCCCCTGGTTTATAAAACATGGTTGCACCCAGTAAGGCTTCATTTGATTTGATCTGGGTTTGGATTAATTTTTTATGTCTTACGGTGAGAGAAATCTGCAAAATGAATATGTACGGTTAACTGAAAAGCAAAAAACTAACAAATTCAGAACATTGTGGGCCTTTACCTGCTATGGATGCTGTGTTGACGATGACCCCTCCCTGACCTCCATTCAACTTGCTCATGTGTTCCAGAGTCAGGTATGCTACCCTGATAACACCCATCTACAACACAAAACAGACAGAGAAAATCTCATTTTGTCTTCAGGACGTCCTTCGTGTACCAAATGTTGTGAAATGAAACAGGAAGCTGAATGTAAAACCTGATAAATGTAACTGATTACATTTTGTTACAGTCTAACAGCTGGAAATAAAGCAATGTTTCTGAAGTACAAGAAATGGACATAATCCCAACCAGATGCAGTTTGTTGCTTCTTACAAGGTTTATGGAGACAGTTTTCTCCCACATGATCTCATTCAAGATGCCGGCATTGTTGCACAGGATGTCAATTCCTCCAAATGTATCTACGGTTTTCTGCAAGGCAGCTTGAGAAAGGAAAAAACAGTTAGTGGTTAACCAAGTTGAGCTCTTCCTCTTAAATACCACTTAAATACTCTTCCTCTTGAATACCACTGAGTCTTCCAAAGGTGTAGGATAAACTACGGTAGCTGTGAATCTTGCAAATAAAACCCTATCTGATGCCAGTGTTTGGTTTGTCTCATCTGCGCTACTGTAGAAACATGATGATTATACACTAATTAAAATATTTATATGACTATTATATTAAATATCTGCCATAAGATCCTCCTAAATGTTCCACCTGGATTTAGAATGTCCTTGTGGGATGATTAGGTTTAGCATTAATTTAGTTCAATAAAAAGGGCTCCGCTGTCTCTTCTTGTCAAAATACCTTTGTGTGCTACTGTGCTGTGCTGTGCTAGTGTGTGTGGTTACCTTTGATCTGCTCCTCTGATTCAACATTACATTGCAGGAACAGAGTTCTTTCCTCTCCGTACAGTTTCTCAAGGACTTCCATTAAATCATTTCCTGCAGCTTCGTTCATATCCAGGAGAGCTACCTGTACAGGTAGAAGAACCA